GGGGTGGGCGTGGCGGGGTGAGGCAGGGAGTGTGGGGGAGGGTGGCGTGGCGGCGTGTTGGGCCCGCGTGCGGGCCGGGCCGAGCGAGGCGCTGCCGCCCCTCAGGTGACAACAGCCACAGGTAAATCCACTTGACTCTGCCTCTCGTTTGTGACAGGCAGGCGCGGTGCGAAAGAGCGTGTTGTGCGCAATCCTCTCGCGCGTGCATGCTGTGTAGATTCTCATTCATGAGACGGTGTGCTGCTAAAATGTGGGACACGTTTGCGAATTTGCATTACGGCACATAGTTGCGATATCGTAGAGGAGCGCTGTTAACATATGTGCACATTCCGGCAATAAATAAAAACAGAAGAGAGTTGCGGACACCTTGCTCGAGGATGACTGTTGGAAACACTCTCCGCGATGGGGGGCTGTTGCCGTCCTCGCCCCCGGGCCGGCCCCGGGCTGTCCCGCCAGGAGCGTCATTTGTCACCCCGCTACAGCCAAGATGGCGGCACGCGGCTCCGCCGGGCCACGAGTCCTTAATCTGCCTGGAGCAGGGTTTTCGTCAACGACGTTTTATCTGCATATTTATTGCTGCAGTCGCACGTTTCGCTATCACAGTATATATATTTTTTTTCTGCCTAGATGCGCCCCGTTCTCTTATAAGCAGCATCGGCGTTTAAAACAGTTGTGCTCCCGTCGCGGAGGTCCCTCCCGCCCCCAGCCCCCTCCCAACCCTCTTTCTTCTCTCCCCGTGCCGATGAAAAATGTATGAAGCTCGTGCTCCCGGACGGTTTGATCTGTTTCTTATTAGTTTGGGCGGCGCGGCAGGCGGCGAGCAGCGCGCGTGCTACGGGTGGGGCTCGGGACCCGCAGGGGGTGCGTCTATCGGCTCGTTAGCACTGCTCTCTAGGTCCGCCCCGCGCCCTCGCGGTAAGGGTGTTCTGCAGCAGCAGCAACTGTGTACCACCGCCAGCAGCAGCAGCAGCGGCAGCAGCATCCCGGTCCAGCAAGCTGTTCCATTTATCTCCTCGTATCAGCGCGTCTGCAAAAATGAGGCCGGCGGGATGCGGGGGGTGGAGGAGGACGGGCGAAGTGCGAGCGAGGGGGGGTTGGGGTTAGGGAGTGGGGGATTACTACTATCCCCCCCCTCCCTCCCCCAGGCCCCTTTGGCTCGTCCATGGGCCAGGAGGCCTTGACAATGATTTTTCTCCTCTTCTCACTTCCTTTCGTCGCTCCTCTATACGGCTATAATGGAATGGGTGTTCATCGTGCCATCCCTATAACGTTGTTTTTTTCCTTTCCTATATTTCCCCCCGAAATCAATGGTGAAAAGGGAAAAGGGCGTGACTCCAATGGACAGTCCTCACTCTTCACCGGTGAAATAAAATACAACCGGAATACAACCCATGCACACCTTTTACATAATGTCTCACGATGAGAGTATCGACTGGGGCGCTGAGTGAATCCACGTGGCCAAAAGCAACCCTTCCCCGGGGCTGTCAATTATTCTCCGCGAGATGTATCGGGGAGGCGTGTTGCGCTCGGCACGCCGGCCACGTATCGCAGGGCGGGGCGGGGCGCCAGACACATGGCGAGCGATTATAGCCGCACAGCCGGAAATGGCGCACGGCAGTCATCATCACCACCACCACCACACCGAACGTCATGGAGCGTACTATATATATATGCACGGAACACACGGCGTTATTGTCATCCCTTTTGCCGTAGCCACAATAATAAGTTTCATAATATCAGTGTTGCCTTCTCTCCCCTCCGCCTTTTTTTTTTCATCATTACTTTATTATTGACGGGCGCCCATAATGGAATAAATGATTGAGTCATGACGGCCAGGGGCATCATAACGGCTTTAATTTCACGACGTTTGTCGGCGTGGCGTAGCGTGAGCCTGAGCCTGCTGCGCGCGCACCGCTCCGGCCGTTAAGACCGCCGCTGGGCCGATGATGACACTGTATACGGCCGGCGCCAATCACCATTACACACCATCAAGTTTATGTCGCCAGTGACTGCCGCCGCACGGCAGCAGGAGCAGCAGCGGCGCCCGACAGCTGCCGAGGAGGAGGCGGACGTCTCAACGGAGAAGAAAAAGTGGATAACATTTCCGAGCAAGTGGTCGCGAGCGCGCCAATCGAAGTAATTTTTTCCCCCTCTTCCTCCACGACGTCTCCTGCAGGCAGAGAGAGTATTCCGCCCAAGTAGCCACAGACCCTCTCTTATTGCAAGTTGATTTATATATTTTTCAAAATATTGTCCAAAATGTTTTAAATATCTTTTCAAAATATTTTTCTCCCGCCTGGCGAGAGGGGTCTCTCGGTCACAATGGCGGGCGCGCCAGTCCGTCTGTCCGGTTGAGGAATGAGCATTTCGCGCCTCGCGCCATCCGGCTGTGTATGGTGCGTGGGCGGGGCGTGGCGGGGCGTGGCGGGGAGCGGAGGGTGGGTATGGGGTAGGTTGTGGTGGGGTAGGGTGGAGCGGCTCAGGGTGGGACGGGGCGGGGCGGGGCGAGGCAGCCGCGGCAAAGGCATGGCGATGATTATTCACCCACACATCAGCGGGCGTGGCGGGCGGGCGCGCGGCGTTGAGATGTTAAGAAGGCCCCCCTCCCCCGTCACGTGACGCTCCCAACCCTTTGTGCGCAATGACTAAGTGCCGCTGTCGGTGTCGGCATGCTGCTGCTGGGGGCCACGGCCACCGAGGGGTGGTGGATGTGGATATGTAGGCCGGGCCGTGTGATCAGACTCGCCCCGTCGCATCGCCTGCCGCTCGCTGCTGCAACAGAGGCAGATGTCGCGACTGTCACGTTGTGTGTCGCACGATGTTTTTTTCTTTCCCCCGCTTGGCGCGCGTGTGCGGAATCATGTGTCGCGCGCACCGCTCTCTGTTCAGATGCACGCGGCCGCGCATGGCAAGCAGAGGTGTGTGGCCGCCCCTCCCTCAAGGGTACGTGGGGAGCAGTGGAGCCCGACGGAGCCCGACGGAGCCCGACGCAGCCAGCGGCGCGTTGTAGGGTAGGTCGTTCTTTCCTGGAAT